ATGTCTTCAATAGTTAATTAAATTTTGAAATTGTATAGCTAACCGATTTTAATTTTGTGAAATGTTTATTAGTAGCGAATATATTGTAAATATGGTTTCTATGACATAGCGTTTCTATCGTGGGTAGTTAAAGAATGTAGCAATATTTAGCTAGGATGTGTTCAAACGAGTAGATTGTTATTTTTATTATTTTTAAAGTTTTATTTATTAACTAGGTTTTATTATTTATTACGTTTTACTAGTAACACATGTCCATACATATTGTAATTTTTTTTATTATTATGTAATAATTACCTCATAATCGTGTATGTTTGAGAATGTGTATGTTATCACAATTTACATTAATAAAAATACTGTTAAATGAAATGGGCTGCTAATGTACTTTGATAAGCTAATGGTGTATAGTGTATGAGAAACAGTATTAATACGAAATAGAAAAAAAGATAATGGTTGGCCACCGACCGATGTGTATTAACTTTAAAATAGGACGAGCGGATTGTACGAAAGGTTGAAATTTTATATTGAAATTGTTCAGTGCGTAAACAAAAATTATCATAATGTCGATGCTGTTGAGGCTGACGTTTGAATTGTTTTAGAATAACAATATGAGCGAGTTCGCGACAACGGCATAGCACTAACGTTGCGACGCGTCGCTGCCTTTATTTGACTTTAGACAACCGTCGATAGATCGACTTAAGCATAGTTTAAATTTATAACATTATCGACTGGCTATCTAGCGATTTCTATCGACTCGATGTCAGTTTGCTTTTTGCTGACGTGTAATCTATCGACGGCGATCTAAATGCATGTTGAATTTAAAACGTCCAATGTGTTACGCCTGGTGTTATGGCTCGTTCTATTGTGGGCGGCGTGTGGGTCACGTCCCGTACTAAGTATAAATTACGTTGAGGCGACTAGTCACGCTCGCGTCCTTTCATTTTCATCAGCAGACACCCAATCACACTGGATGTGTTTCGCCTCTTAGTAACTCTTTAAGTAACACGGCTTACTAACAAGATCCATGATTTAAGAACATAAACAAATTTATCAAGGCGAAGTCTTTTGCTAAGCCTAAATATGAAATTTCTAAATAGAGTTTATATAGTATAAAACTTACAATTCAGGCCAGTATGATTGGACGACTGTGTATCTAGTAGTGTCTACGTTACGACGTTACGTCACAGACGCTTCACGTCATTATATCAATCGTACACATCAATCGCTTCATTATGAAGTAAAACTATTATTATATTTATAAATAGCGACACAAAATTTTATTTAAAATAAATAAATGCAAGTATGATATTATGTTCGGATGTTATTTAGTCATTTGTTAGTGTATAGCTTTTCGATGTAGCTACGTTCTGTAAAGAGGCCGACGCACGCGCCACGTGGCCTAGTATTATCCGGTAAATACTGTTTTATACTTTGATGGGTGGATCTTGTAGATATCGCTTATCGTTTTCAATCAGAAGACGCCGGAGCTTTCCCACTTGATTTATAATGAAACGTCGATGCTCTTATCCATAAGGAACCTCCACAAGTGCCAACGTGACTCGGCAGCGATGCAAGCGAGCGAACTATCACTTATAATATACGTGAGTCCATCACATTCCAGCTAATGTGTCGATGTTAAGTACATAATGTTGAACTTGTCGAACAAATTTATTTTTCCCGTATGTACTCTGACCCCCGTGGCTCGCGCTACCAAAGAGTAAAGTTACCCTCAATTTAAGGAATTTAATGTAAAATAGTTTGTTAGTGAAATTTCGAATGTATATATATATATATAATTTTGCATAAATGTGTTGCATAGCTTCGTATAGAAGGGAAGTGTTTAAATGAGAATATGTAATTGCTAGTGAGCCAGTCTGTCAGATTATCGCGGTTAGCTCCCACGGTCCCTGTAATGTGCCGGCGGCGTAACATTCCATGCTTTGTGTGTCATGTCATTAATAATCGCTCTGGCCCTCAACTAATGTATTAGCCAAATGTACGGGAAGTATTGTTTCGTGGTACAGGGGCATGCGTAATGTCTGAATACAAAATTGTTAAACTAGGACAATGATTATTTTGACCAATGTAATCTGAAGTACTGTGTAACCTTTGTAAAAATATTTATCAAATGTGCATTGACGACATAAGTTGTGCATAATGATAAGAGGTAAATACAATTTACACGATAAAATTACTTGTTTCATTTGTCTATTATTTAAAAAATTACGAGCTTATATATTTAATGTTGCCACCTTTCGAGAAATGAAATTCGGACAGTCATTCAAAGTGATCGCACATCAGACCAGTGTAGATCATAGGAAAAGTAAAAAAGGGCTTTCATTTTGTATATTTTTATTCAATTAACTAGGCCCGCCTGATGGATTTTTTTTACTCTTGAGTTCAATTTTGGCAGTCGTGTTATTTTGATACGGCAGGGGCAGGGTTAACGGCAGATGAGAAACTATAGACTATTACGATGGGGATTGCAACGTGGCAGGACCGTGGAGGATACCTACATATGGCGCAAATTGAGTGATTGTCGAGCGTTATCTAAAATCGGGACGGGTGGCAACCCTATCCAGCTTCATCGGGTATATAATGGAATCAATAAAATATCTGTGAATTCAAATTCAGGTTCGGATCTTTACCGAATCGTCCTGCAGAGCTGTGATTTTTTTATCACGTGTGACTGGCGGGTGGGGGCGGTATTCATATCCAGGTATGAACTCGGTTCACCTTTTTTAATTAATTCGTCTTTTGATATCATGCATTTTTTTATGTTCTTTTTAAATACAACTTTATTAAAAAATTCTTCAATGTCTTTGAAACAAAGTACATTTGTGTTAATGATGAACCGCTGGAATATTTGTTAGTTTATCAAGTTTAATTAAGGATCCCGTTGTTTAAGGAGTATTACCTCATTCAAATACATTTTTGGAGTACTCTGCTCTTTTAAAATAACGTATGTTACCGTTACACTGATCTTTCTACGATGATTTAGGAAATGTTACACTCTGTTTCCAACTTGAGAATTTAAAGTTAAAAACTTCTCAAATTAACGTTGTTTAGACAGGTTTTCAATTCCGATTTTAGTTTTTTAATGGTCAGTTGGTAGCAGTTTGATAAAACTATACTCCATTCATTATAGCATTAGACAGAAGTAAGATAAGGTTCTCTTTATGGTATACTTTGTGACAAATATCAATAATCATTTTACTCTTTACACTGACTTTATTCAGATATTATTGATTAAGATATTGGAAAGACTTCCTGAAATGTCAGAGGTAATTGGCCAATCAGACCTGCACCGGAATCGTCTATATTTAGCAAAACTTAACTCCAAAAAGATAACAATTCAAACAAAACTATAAGAGAACAACAATAATACAATAACAACTTAATCACCGAATACGATAAAACAACAAGAAAGGCAATAACATTCACAATTAATGAGAATCTCAGATTACGTATTTTGACTATTATGAATACATCCTAATCTGACAAAATTAAAAAGCTGTACTACGGTAACGATTGAAGGGATTAAGCAACGTTTTAAATTTGGTAGAGTAATAGTGACATGAGAATCGTGCCGAGAGTATCCAACCCTGCTTCTCTAGGTTCTTTAAGATGAACACTTTTTATTGTAAAAGTTATTAAATCTTTTAAGTTAGTCAAATACTCATAATTTTGTTTAACAGGTAGCTTAAACGACAATTGTTAAGTGTAGTAGCTGGTATTTAAGTGGATATGTAGCAAATAAGCCGTCATTCTCAAGAGTAACATGATTGTTAATATTTTGTCACAAAGTATACCATAAAAAGAACCTTATTTAACTTCTGTCTAATGCTATAATGAATGGAGTATACTTAAATGCCAGCTGCTATACTTAACCGTTGTCGTTTAAGCTATTAAACAAATTTATGAATATTTGACTAACTTAAATGATTTAATAACTATTACAATAAAAAGTGTTCATATTAAAGAACCTAAAGAAGCAGGGTTGGATAGTTTCGGCACGATTCTCATGTCACTATAACTACAAACGTTTCGGCAGTAGTTTTTTAATTTTGTCAGGTGATGATGTATTAATTATTGTCAAAATACAGAATCTAGGATTGTCATTCATGTGAATACTACTGCCTTTCTTGTTGCTTTGCCGTTTTCTGTGATTAAGTTGTTATTATTTTATCGGTTTTTTTTATACTTTTGTTTTAGTTTTTATCTTTTTGTTGTTAAGTTTTGTTAAATATGGACGATGCCGGTGCAGGCCCGAGTGGCCTACAACAATTACCTTTGACATTTCAGGAAGTTTTTCCAATGTCTTCATTAATAGTCTAATAATATCTGATAAATATTATAAAAGTAATAGTTAAAGGTTTGTTTACCTTTCTTTCCTGGGCGTAGATATAATTAAATTCTATTCTTATTATAATTACTTTTTATGTAATTCATCTATTCTTATATAATTCTATTCTTATAATGTTACAATTAGAATTTATCAAAACAACAGATAGATAGTTTTAGTTCCATGTTGGCTTGGGAGCAAAAGATGAATTTAGAAATTACTGGCGTCATCTTAACCCTGAGGTATCGTTAAAAATCGAAAATTGCTTAGCTCTTTCAGACTACCTAACGTTCAAAGTTTCAACAAAATATCAAATATATTACTAAAATTTATCTTGAAAATAAAATGTTATGCACTGCTGCTTCTGTGAGCCTCTTTTTTCTAATGTTATAATGAATGGAATATAGGACTTTTTGACTCGTGAAACATAAAAACTTAAGTTATTGTAAATAATCAGTTGAGATTTTCTACTTTTCTCAAAACAGAAACCAACTGTTAGTCTGTTTATTGATTGAAGTATTTTGACTGCTTCATTTAGTGATTGTCTGGTAGAATGTGTATGAATGCAACTTATAAATTAAAGAGGCTTGATGAGTGAAGATATTAGTCAGGAAAGAACAATATGTAGTAACAATTATTTTTAATAAACTAGTATTTTTTACATCTGCGTCTTTTTCTTATTTCCCATTTTACTTAAATGCCTACAGATCTTCTTTTTTAATTCCTTCTGTCTCTTTATGCGTCGCCACTCTTCGTCTTCTAGTTGTTTCTTGTGAGCCTTCAGCCGTTCCGCCGTCGCCAACTTCTGTACCTCGTTCTTTTTATCGAAATTAGTTTTCAACATCTTCATAACATTAGACACCTTCTGCTCATATGGATTTTTGATAACCGCTACCCTGTCCAACTTACTTTTAGGCTTCCCAGAGACAGTGGTAGATTTCTCCTTTGGTTTGAATCTATAAGGCAGTCCTTTCTGCAGTTCCTTTGGTATTACTAAAGGTTTGAATACTTTTGGGCCCCTTGTTACTTCAGTGTACATAGAATCAGTGTTGGCTTCACTCTTTATATTACGCTCTCTCTTCAATTGTCCTTTCGTCTTCATTCCCTGCCAAGCATTTTTGACTCCCGGAGGCAAGAGCAGATTCACAACAGGGGCATAGAACTTGGTAACATTGACTTTGAACCATGTTCTACAAAAAATAATATCACTCATTAAAATCTTATCTTCAAATGTGGCCCTGAAAGCGCCTTCAGGCTTGTTCAGAGCCTTTTTGATCTGTCCTCTGATACCTGAAACAGTTTTTATTCTGGCACCTTCAAATTTGGCTACCTCTAGAGTGCTGGTGAACATATCTTTAATGAAAGCAGTTTTCTTGTATATTTTCAGTGGTGTTCCAACCAATTTCAATTTTTTTACAATCTGTGTAGACTTGTTGATTTCATTAACACTACCTGTAGCAGCTATTCTAAATCCTAACTGTTTGATTTCATTAGGATCATTGTTTACTGTTTGTAAAGCAAGGAATCCAGTGTTCTGTGGAGTTATTGGACCATAAAAATGCATATTGCATGTGACATGTTCTGGTGTATATTTTAAATATCTACACTTCAAATCATCCTCTATTTTAGAGTAAATTGGTAATGTTTGAAAACGACGCCAACCAAGTGATATAATCAGTGGATCATTGGTTTTTAAAATTTTCTTATACCATCTATGTTTTTTTACTTTGCATGAGACAAAACCTATATTCTGTTCTGCCATATTAAGAGCACCAATCAATATAGGGTATGTAGAATCAAAGTTCGTTATAAATTCTGAGGGCATATTTTTGAACATCATTCTCACATATAGGCCAGGTCTGAATCCCTCAACTTCTATTCTCATTCCATTATCAAGATTCTCAAATACTGATTTATTCAGTTCAGACTGTTTTAAAGCTTCAGCCTTCAAACTTTCATAGTATGCGTGATCTCCTTTTATTCTATGCTCATCAGGATTGTCATATTCTGCATCAAATTTTGCTTTCAATTTCAGCTTTTTATTGAGTATTTCAGATTTGGTAGGTTCCGCTTTATGTTTGTCTCCGGGTTTTAAGTTTGTGGAATCTTCTAATTTTTCATCAGCGACATGTTTTTCTCCTGTTTCTAAATCTTCGAAATCGCCATAAACTTCTTCATCATCTCCATCACTAGCATCATCTAATTTCAATAGTTCCGAGGCATCTTCATCAGCAGATCTCTTACCAGTGACAAAACAATTTATCAAAAATTGTTTGTTAACTTCACTGGTCCAATCCCTGAGAGATGGTTTATCTAATGAATAAAAGAATGAACATTCATCTAAATCTAGTCTCTCCTTTTCTTTATGTTTTTTCTTTTGAGTTGCAGTAATGTTTTTTGAAAAACTATCAATATCTTCATGGTCTGAATCATCATCTGAGTCATCTTTCTTTTCTTTATTCTTATTCCCAATTTCAAATTCTCCATAAACAAGCTTCATTATATTTTTAGATGTTTTCTGTCTTTCTAAATAGGCATTTGTTGCTTTTTCACTCATTTTTTCTTTCCATTTTTGACTAAAATCTTCTTCATTATCTGATTCAGATTCTTCCTCAGTGTCTGCTTCATTGTCTACATTTTCAGACTCATTATCCCAGGGTAATTTATTTTCTCTTTTTTTCTCATTCTGATCATCAATACCACTATCATGTTCAGTATCAGTTTCTTCCTCATTATTAGAACTAGAATCTTCAGAGCTATCATCGTGTTTTTCTTTATTCTGTTGCAAATATTCATCATTCCTTAACATGTCTGGATATATAACTGCTCCTCCACTGAATAATTGAAATCCAGATTCTTGCATTTGTTCGTCAATAGTTTCTGTTGTTTCAACAACATTCTTCAATAAGGCTTTCTTTTCATTTGTCTCATCATCTTCATGATTATGCGAATGAGAACCCTTTAATTCAATATAAACCGCATCTTTGTCATATACAATACCCCCCACACCTGAGAAAGGTGCATATATTTGTCTCTCTCTCTCCATTAAATGACGTTTCTTTTCACTACTTGGTAGAGGGCATGGGTCTGGTAAGTAAGAAAGTTCATTTATCTTCATATCACCAACACCTGGAATTGTAAAAAATACAAAGTTTCTTAGTAGCACCAAAACATTAAGTTTTTTAATCATAATCAATTAAATTTCAAAAATATGCTATTAACTAAGAAACGGTGAAATTACTATAAAAAACTTAATAGGCAAAAAATTCAAAAATTAACCATGTATTGATTTGCACAATGATACTAAATGTTATAAATGCAATTAAAGTATAGAGGGGGACTAGTAATATATTTCTGGTTACCTGCTATATGCACCATTGATTCTTTCATAAGTGGCACCCCTCTAACATATCCATACAAAATAACATCTCTGTTGACTTTAGGATCCTTCCTAATGATTTCTTGATTTGTTACATCCTCCATTCTGTCAGCTAAAATATATGCATGAGTTGATCGCCAGCTAAGTGGCCTAAACTTCATCACTGAAATAAATCTAGCTAAGTTTTTAATCTCATTTCTTAAATATTCTCCATGGATAATGCCAGAGAGATAAAACAGTTTGGCTCCTGGGTATACTTCTGTCCAAAAACGATGTTTCAATGTCTTTTTAGTCATTTTTAATGTTTTAGCATTCTTTATCATATCAAGGTGAGTTAAAACGCCCATAATTTTAGGCATACCATGCACTTGACATATGTTTAAAAACTCGAAGATCTCCATTTCAAAACCAAAACTGGCATCACATAGTAACAAAACTAAATCTGCACATTTTGCTATATCAATCATGGAATTAACATCATTGTTGCACTCTATCAATGTGAGCCGACGTTTCTTAGACGTTACTATGGTAATCGGTCCGTTGGTACTAGTAACATTGGTTTTTATAAAGCTTTTGATGAGATTGTTTATCAAGGTAGTTTTGCCGACTCGCGGGGGACCGACCACTGCCACAATAATGGGAGGAGGCTCAAGAGGAGTCTTGTCCACCTGAGGAATGTGCTGTTTCTTAGTAATAACATCTTCTCGACGTCTAAATTGTCGCTCTGCCCTCACAGCTGACTGGATGGCGAACGCTTTTGGATTTCGCTGCCGCGCACTTAGGTTAGATGTATCTAGCGGGTTCTTCTTTTTCTTCTTCTCCGCTTTTCGTCCAGCTTTCTTCGCCCGATGGGCTTTCTTCTTGTCAAACACGTTTTCATCAGTCATGATTTAGACAAATTGTAAAAAGTTTACCTTCATAATAAAAATTCACGTGTTTCGAGTTTTCAATCTGATTTAGGGATACCCAAACGAAATCGATTATTTAGAAGATCGAATCACGACTATATGATCAACTGATATATTCGAATACGATCTTATTTAAATCGAATAGAATGCCTGGAAGATCGTTTAAAAGAATACAAACAATTATATGCAAACGATCGAAGAATATAAAATAAAGTGAACACTTAAAGCGAAATAAGCTCATGCCTACTTATTTCCATTGTTTATTATTAGTTATTAATGTTTTTAGTATTATTAAATAATTAAATAAAGACATAACTAAGAGAAACTTCTTCAATTATTATATTTATTAAGGTGGGATGAAGTTGCGCAGGTTGGGATAAGCTATTTACAATTATTTGAAACCTACGTTCAACAGTTTGGCACCGAGACGGCTGGAACCGACTTAAAAAAAAAAACTTGTTGCTGTAACCACTTTGTATTTGATTTTATTGAAGATAAAATTTTATGGTATTATTTTCCTCTTTTCAGTCGTTTCTCTTTATTACGATTTTTTGAAATCTTTTTAGTTTTTTAAATTGTTTTTATTTCTTTCTTTTTTTAATAATAGAAGTTATCACCGATCCATATTCTTACTTCTAACTTATAATAATAAATTAACACCTTCGTCTGTATTTAAACACACTTATATCTTCCGGATAAACGTTTTCTGTAATGGGAGCAGTTCTAACGGAACCTAACAAACTATTCTTGAAGCAATTCGTTTTTATTGGGATATCGCAGATCTAACCTAACTTAACTTACTATTTTGGTAACAGTTCGTTTCTTAGGTCATTTAGTTATTTATAAACTGGAGAGAGTGCCACCATTCGACGCACAAGTATACATATGTGGCGAGGCAGTCCTGTTACAGCTGGACATCGATGCTGCCTTTACAATCGTCAACGCCCGTGACACGGCATCTCGCCTGCTCCGCCGCTCATCCCGACGCCGCTCACGATGCGTACATGGAACGACTCGTCAGTATAACTCGTTGGATATGCTCTGGTTTCTATCGAATATGAAGGCATAGTTCGAAATTTTAACGTGGTCGTCGCTAAAGGTCTTAGGCTGGGACTGACTCGCACCTCACAATATGTCTATTAAATTAAACTTTATATCGGACATTCAAAATAAGCAATTGAATGTTTTACTTGTAAAGCACAGTGACGTGTTTTCTTAAGGGCTGGGTCGTCCGGTTACCATATACTTGAAAGAAGACGCTACACCGAGGTAAGTATGTTTAGGTACGCCCTGTACCATTCACACTCAAAGAGTAGAGAAAGAGATTGACCGTTTAGTAACTTAAGGGTGTTCTTTCTACAACCGACTTTTTTATTTATTTATTTAGGTTTACCAGAAACAAATAACATTATTTCTATCATCTATTGAACATCTTATAGCTAAATCTAAATGTATTTGTAAAAAATTATAAAGACAAACATACAACTGTGATTACTAACAAAAAAAAATTTTGAATGTTGGTTTGCAACTTAAATTTTCATAAGTTCATAGCGAGACCGTCAATATCATAACTGCAGCAGTTATTGTATATTTTACACATTCGACAGATTGCAGAATTTGAGCCCGCCATTGTATGACTAAAAGTTGGACTGAGAGGTGCGATTGGTTTACGTGGATATCTAACTGGCACCCGAAATCTAATGTAGAAGTTTTTAAAAAATAAAAATTAGTTTTTGAAATCAAACTAGATGTCACTAGCGGTGTTTGCATAACTGTCTATAATATTCATTCAAATTTTCGTAATAAAAGTAAATTGAATATCGAAAATTAATAAATATGAAATCGTTTCTTAATATTATCTAACTTTCAAATTAATTTTAATTTATTTGAATCGGAAGTTTAAGTTATTTATTATGTTACGTGTAAAAGAACGATGTTAGGTTTATATGTCAACATAATTGATGAGCCAGCTTATTGGTCGCTTGTAATTTAAATTTAATTGATTCATCCGAATTCAGGTTTGGCGTTAAGAACAAAAAGCGGAGCGCAGAATTCAGCTTGTTTTTTTATGTACAGTATTTCCATATGTGTCATTATGCATTATTTTTTTTTATGGAATAGGGGGCAGTCGAGCAGGCGGATCACCTGATGGTGAGTGATTACCGCCGCCCATGGACACCTGCAGCACCAGAGGAGCTACAAGTGCGCTGCCGGCCTTTGAGGGACGAAAAAGCTCTACGCTTGAAAGTTTGAAGGTCGTATTGGTCCGGAAATACCGCTGGCGAGAAACTATTCCAGAGTTTGGCTTGGCATGCGAGCGAGTCTCTTAAAATAGAAAGAAAGATGATATTTATCTCTTGTCAAATAGCTATAGTTGAGCGAAACGATGGCTGACTCGTGAGTCAAGCTCTCTTCAACTTAATTTCATCTATTTTCTTTTATAATGAATATTGTATATTGATTTGCCAATGAGTATGTAGGAGTTCTGATATTGTAATGGAATTCCAATAAGACTTCTCTGTGTGAAATAAAACAGTGAGAAAAACACTTCTTGCTGAGTTTCTTGCGGTTCTTCTCAGTACAAGGTCTCCTGCCTTAGTTTTGCGAACCATTGGCAAAGTATTCGACTTTCACAAGTTATATGTAACAGCCTAGACTGAATTGATTCTGATATTTATATTAATATCATTCGCTTCATGGATGCATAATGATGACACATACAAATACAAGCTGAATTCTGCGCTCCGCTTTTTGTTCTTCATTCTAAACCTGAACTCGGATGAAAGTTACGAGCAACCAATAAATTGGCCCATCCCTAATGTTGACGTATCAACCAAGCATCGTTCCTTTGCACGTAACATAATAAACAACTTAAACTTACGATTCAAATAAATTAAAATTAATTTGAAAGTTAGATATTATAAGAAACACAAAACGATCTCGTAAGAAACAAAATTTGAATGAATATCATGAACAAAATCCAAACATCGCGAGTGACATCTAGTATGATTTCAAGAACTAATTTTTATTTTTTAAATACTTCCTCATTGAGTTGCGTTTGCGTAACTCATAATAATTGAATATCAACTCGATATTAATCTAAGTTATCAGATCCATAACAACACCGACAATTCTATTCTCTTTGGTTTAACGTCATGAATTGAAATTTAAATCCTACAATTTATGCTGCCATCTAGAGTAGTTTCTTTATTTTTTTAAAGGATAAATCGAGTCAATTGAAGTTACAAGCAACTAATAAGATGGCACATCACTAATGTTAGCATATAAACCAAAGAGTACAGTAATAATATATAAACCAAACATCGTTCCTTTGCACGTAACATAATAAATAACTTAAACTTACGATTCAAAGAAATTAAACTAATTTGAAAGCAAGATATTATAAGAAACATTAAATGATATCATATATATTAATTTTCGATACGCAATTTTCTTTTATTATGCCAAAAAGAATGTTCAAATGAATATCATAGAAAATGAGGAAGTATTAAAAAAAAAATAGTGTTACGAAATCAAACTAGATGTTACTAGGGTACTCTCTTGATATCTCCATTACAACCTTTCCGGTTTTCTTTCATGTATAAAAGTAAATTAATTTTCAAAACTCAGTAAACAACTGATATTCTATTTGCACTTTTCCGTATTTGTATTGATATCTAAATTTGGAGTTTTTTCTAAAATGTCAGTTAGTAAAAGGAACGGAAAGTACTATCTTTGGTTCATTCGTTTCCTGCAAAAAAGTCAACTTTTGCTAGAGTCGCCATCTAGTGAGGTGCTTTTTAATACTTTATTTTTTTTCTTGAAATACTTAAATGCTGCGTTTAATATACAAAGTTTGCTACTAGTAGATGGCATACTAAAGATATATAAAGAAGAAGACATTCCCGCCTCCTACCATCTCTACTAAAATGAAGAAACTTATGAAGTTTATAATTTCAACTTTTGATGTAATATGAGAAGTTAACTCTGTATGTTATAGTGATAGAATAGATAATATAATTTGAATATTATATATGAAAAAATGACTCCTAATTACAATAAAATACAATGATGTTTAAATGTGAATGTGGCCTTATAAATGTAGTGTTATTTATTACTCTACTCTGGTGGTGAGTGACGGTTGACATTGACACTGACAGTCTACGTTACGATCTAGAAAATCGAAGATTCTTTGATTCTGTGCGGTTTTGTTTGCCATTGTTTGTTACGAGTGTATCTACCTGTTTGTGCTTAATATTTGGATGATGATAGTGAAAATCGTGTCGACTGATGACGGCTACAGTGTGACGAATGTAAATGTGATTTAGGAACTCGTTTTGTTATTATGAGTTCTTCGGAAGTGGACAGCCGCAGTATCACTATTTCCATGTTAGTATTATTACGTATTTTTGGCCTTTTTTTGCATCTATAAACTCGCCTCGTTTATATAGCTGGGGAAAATATTTGTTTATATAGACTGAGTTTTCATCTAAGATTTCTAGTCAGATAAGTACATCGAAGATATAACTTTAGGACTAGGTCAATGATCTTTGTTGCGCAGTCTGATGATGAATAAACAGATCATTCAAATTGTTTAAATAATTTACTTGCATTGACAAAACCTAAATGACATAAGTTCTGAAAATATGATAGATCTCTTTTTATTATAAGTCAATTTCTATGCAGCCTCAGGTGCATTTTTCCAAAACTAATATGTCCATCTGAAATATCCAAGCAGAATTGTCTATTTTTAAATGCTAAAGGAAATTATCAAAAAGTTTGTATATATTTAAATCTATGCGAATTCATAAAATTCACATTGTTTAATGTATAATACAGTCAACAGCTTATATAAAACTGCCCAATTTATCCACTTGATTTTAAACTTTGATGCATTGGGGGTAATGTTGAAATATAAATGAGAAAATTCGACATATTCTGGTAACCTTATGTTCAGCTGTCTGTACATTATTTATTGTTTAATAATAATAACTTTATTACCAATTAAAGAATGACTATATGGAATTGAATAACAGGTGAAGTCCTTAAAAATCAGTAGTGTAGATTTATGGGAACTTAAAATAGAAGGACCCTGTAACTTAAGAACCCACAAACTTCTGTTGACAAA